TTTTAAAATTACTTTGCGACATTGCTATTGAACTAAATTTTATGGTTTAAGTGCAAAGAACATGATATTTAATAAATAAAGATAATACACAAAACGTTAAAAAAACGCCCCTTTGGACGTAATTTAAAATCTGAAACATTTCAGATTTTTTTTTTCTTTCTTTTTTTTTTTTTTCTTTTTTCAAAACAGTTATGTTTCTGAGTATTTCAAATTAGCTAAGGCACTGAAATGTTTCCACCTTCTTATCTTACTTTGCAAAGGGAATTATGAATTCAGATTAATATCGTGTAAGATCGTAAAAGGATTTCATTGTTAGCGTAAAGGGCATTAGCCCAGAAGGGCTATTAATTTAGTTTTGGTATTTTGCGTTGGTTCACTATAAATGTCGGTTCACTCTTCAAATTGGTGCCTTTCTCGTATTGTGAGAAAACAGCGGTCACTAGAGCCATCAAATTTTGAGTAACGTACGTTTCCACCCGAATATGGGCGTCTGAAAGCCCAGATTTGGAATTTAGAATTTGTTATATTATTTATTTAAGATTTTGTAAAACTTTAACAAATTTTTACGATTTCAAAGCAATGGCAACACTGTACGGAAAAAAAAAATTATCTCCAGCGAGACTGTGTATCGAAAATTCTAAAGATAGGCTCATTTTAAAATTATTTTACAATATTGCTGTTGAACTGAATTTTACGGTTTAAGTGCGAAGAACATGATATGTAATAAATAAAGGTAACACACAAAACGTTAAAAAAACATGTAATGTAAAATCTGAAAGCCTTCGGATTTATATTTTTTTAGTTATTTATTACAAAGGTAAATGAATCTTGCAAATTATTACAAAGAAATTTTAAATTCTAAACACGCTGAAATCATTATTTAAATCGAAATGTCTTTCTGATTATCATTTTTGATGCATCTCTGCGTCCAGCACCTGAGTTTGCAAATGCTGGTTTGTATATTCTGATAGTCGTGACTCTGCAGGTATAAATATATGGACCCTGATCCTGCAGCCTGTAGTATGTCATAAATATATGTCCCGGTATGTCATTCGATTAGGTAGAGCGATTGCCAGAAACGATTTCGATACGCTTTTGGTGTCCGTGCTCCTGGAAGTGGTGACTATTCTAAAGCCGGTAGGTCCACCGCCTGTAGATTGGGTATCTAAGGCGGGTTGCGGCAAGCGAATGATTATGTTTCTTTTCTTAATACAGCTTTCGACCCACCTCTCGCCTAATACGGAGATAAAGGGGACAGTCAATGCATTTATACATGGAACATGTATAAATTTTGAATAATATCTCTGCATTCATTGATAAATTGCTGTATAGATTCATTACTCATAATTGATCATATTAATATACATCATTCTGCCTCTCTTAACGCAATTTCATTGGCCATACCTGATTCGCATATATGATTATCATATATAGTTTTCTCTCATATGCCGGGGACAGTGCATATGTATCTGTAAATACTTATAAACATAACTAATATAACTGTAAGAAACAAAAGTAAGATCAATATAAACAAATAGATAATAGCATGCTTCCTTATAGTCATAAATTGTGCTACTCTTAGTGTACAGTCTAAAATTTTACACATCTCTTAGTAAGAGTAATGGACTTGCAAAATATTTCAAAATAAAATAAATATGTTTGAGTTCTAGATAGAGATCATATTTTAATTTTTGAATGGAGAAGAAACACTTGAGTTTCACTGAAATTTCTGAAAGCTTTAAGAAGCAATTACTGCGGATGATTCCGCTAAAGGTATTCTGTGCTAACAGAAATAAATCCCTGATTAGATTAGCAAAGCAAATGCTTGACATATCACGAATATGGAAGGCAAGATTGAATCCTTGCACGGAAGGCAAGAGCATTCGTAAAGACTGTCAGATACACAATATCGGATCACAGATACGCAATAATCAAAGATATTGAGCTGTTTCACTGAGCTTCTGTTGATTCACACTACCCGACTCTTACACGCTGACTACCAATAAGTATTTGGACACCTATGCAAATGACGAGATCTGCGGTTCTAAGGTACGTCACGGACTACGCCGGTCTATATCGTGTAGGAAACAGCATCGGCTTTAGTCGCATGCAAGATGCCTCGCAGTTCGGAGCTCTTTGATTTCGAGAAAGGTATAATTATTGGGTATCAGAAATGTGTCCGATCCTTAAGGGACATATCTAGCCATCTGAAGTACCCAAAATCGACAGTGGCCTATGTGATTAAGAAGTGGAAGGTGAGCGGTGATTGTCGGAATGTGCCCCGAGTCGGCAGACCAACGAAACTGGGAGATAGAGACCGACGACTGCTGTCCTGAGAAATCGGAAGAACCGGACCGATGGCCCTCATCCGCGAGGAGTTTCAACAGGCATCCGGGAGTATTGTTTCAATGAATACCATCCGTAAGGAAGCACATCTGCTTGGTTTTCATGGTCGTGCTGCTGCTCATAAGCCTTTGATCACAAAGTCCACCGCGCTGCTCGGTTAATGTGGTGCAAAGCACATCGAAATTGGACCGTAGATCAGTGGAAACGGGTTCTTTGGAGTGACGAATCAAGGTTCACCCTTTACGTTCGGATGGCAGGGTCTGGGTCTGGCGTCTACCTGGAGAACGTCTCCTGCCAGAATGCATTGTGCCAACAGTCAAGTTCGGCGGAGGTGGAATTATGGTCTGGGGGTGTTTCTCCTGGTATGGGCTGAGACCCTTGGTCCCCATTCATGGTAAGCTGAACTCCGATGCCTACTGCACTATTTTGGATGACAATGTGCTTCCTACGTTGTGGCAGCTTTACGGGTTGGACCCCTGTTACTTTCAGGACGACAATGCCAGTTGTCATGTTTCGACGTTAACGAGGCTTGGTATGGTGCCAATGGAGTTCATCGAATGGACTGGCCTGCTCAGAGTCCAGACCTGAACCCTATCGAGAACCTCTGGGACCAGTTGCATCGCCGAATTCAGGGGTGCACTACCCGTGCAAAATCGGTGAAGGAACTTCTATGTCTTCTCCAAGCCGAGTGGAAGGAAATACCACTAGTTGTCATACAAAGACTTGTGGAAAGTATGCCCCGAAGGGTCCACGCTGTAATTACCTCTCTTGGAGGCTCTACCAACTATTGATTTTGAATAAAAGTAGTTTTTCTTTTCTATCACAGGTGTCCAAATACTTATTGGTAGTCAGTGTATCAGAGATTTTCAACAGGTACTTGGTGATTCTCAAATCTCGAGTGTTTTATAAGTTCGTAGTGCCTTTAGCTCTTGTACATACCATTACATAAAATCCATGAAAACATCTTTACTTCAATGAGCTGAAAAGTACAGACTCTTTATATAGAGACCATTAGAGGAATTCTTCACATGGAAGTAGCAGAAGAGGATTTCATACTTCTCTTGTATCTTTCTTTCTGTTTTCTTCTAGAAATCTTCATACTAAAACTTCGAGAATCTTCCAAAAGTCTTCAGATATTTTCTAAATGTCGCCGTATTTGACAGATTTCAGTACCTAATATTTTCCATTCTACTAGAACTTCTTACAAGCTGAAAGAGTTATACGCAAAAAATTCATAATTGAAACATAATAAAACAGTTACAAAGGGAGTTATGAAGTAAGTTACAAAGTAAGGGCAAACAAAATGTACTAATATTTCAAGCAAAGTATGGAAGAAATATGCATGCATTTGCGATTGTACAAAACAGAAAATAAATGAGCATAAATATAGAACATTACATAACAAATATTTGAATATACTAATTTAAGATGATACAGATATTTACGTTTATAAATAATTTTGAGTATAATTCAGTTTTTTTATAAAGCTTACTGTTCTTTATATTCCTATGATATAGGAACTCCAAACTATTCGTACTGAAATATCGAGTAAAAATCCATCAAATTTCAGTGAGAAATAGCAGTTAATATCAATTGCTAATTAGAAAGCATATCCAACTGTAAATTTTGATTACATTCATACAAAAATCCTGATATTAAAATGTTAATTCTGATATATCGATATCTGGATGTACTAAAAAAAAAAAAAAAAAAAAAAAAAAAAAAAAAAAAAAAAAAAAAAAAAAAAAAAAAGGAAATATTTCGCGCTATTTAATTTTGTTTTTACTAAGAATAGTAAAAAACAAACTTTATATTGACTTCTAGAAAAGCTGAATATATACCAATTGCATTAAATTTTCACGAACCATTATGAATGAAGCAATAAAAGAAGACTTCGAATTAGCAGTATGTTAATAGATTACTTGAAGATGGTATAGTCTGTCTAAATTTTTATGCGAGATATCTGACGTGGAAACAACACTGACTTCCTTGTACGGCCTACAGAATTATACACATTTTTTGCTGCATTTCATTTAAACTTATTTCCTCGAATTTTATTACAGCTATATTTCTTATTTAATGAATTAATAGTTTGTTTAATTAATTAATAGTAAATTGAATTATATATAATAATTTGTGGGGATTAATGAAGCTTAAATTTAAAAAAGAATGGTCAATAAAGTCTTACATGGAAGTATTTTTATCAGCAGCAGCAAAACACTTATATAATAATTTTCTTGTATCTCTTATGTTTCATAATATAAGCTGTAATTATTGCGAAATATTAGGCTTGATTAAACATGAGAGATTAGAAAGGATTATTTCTAATCTAAGGGAGAAAATATCTTTTTTCTGCCTGCGACCTTCTGACCTTCGCCAAATAGAACAAACACCGGTATGAAAGTCTGATGTCTTTTCAAAGGAAAACATTGATTAACGCAAAGTTTTGACAGTTTACACGTGCATTTTTATCTATCGATATAATGCCAAATTATATTTTTGTAGCGCAATAAAGCATTAATTATTCGCATGGCATGAGTAGTGCTTTTCGCAAAGCTTACGCGTTTAGACACGATTCAGTGAGCAGAAACTTGATAGCATTTTTAACGTTCAAAGGTAGATTTCATTTGAAAAAAACGCTCAGACTGCAGTAGCAAGGTCAGTCTTGTAGGAGGAGCTCGAAGAACCCAATTTCATCAACAATCATGTCCACAGGCGAAGCATTTCGTCATCGGACTCATGAGTTCTACCACGTTTAACACACGAGTTCTGCTTTTTCTGTTGTTAATCGAGGCTTTATGTGCATCCAGCTTAATAAGTATTGCTGCAATTGCTAAATGCGAACACTATATGTGATTATTGTCGTACTTTTTTTGACCAAAACGAATCAGGGCATTTGCCCACTCTGCCCGCAGGCAGCAACGGAACCAGTCGGAAGAATTCGAATCTCAAACACGAACACGCAGACGATCATTTGTTTTACTAGTTTGACGTATATTAAATACAAGTGAAGAATGTACCGGAAGTTTTGGTTTGTCGCGACAATTTGCGTTGTAGTAGAAGGTAAGAATTCTTTTTCTATTCGGAAAATTGTTGCATCGTTTTTAAACAACCAAATTTAAAAAAAAAGACTATGTCAAAATGTAAAATAAATTACCTTTTATAAGTATTTGAATTATTCCGTTTATTCCCCCCCCCCAGTTTCATCTTCCAGTTTGTAACTTAAGTCAGGATTTATTTTTCTTCCTATCGTACCGTTAAGCCGTACACGTCCTAGTTCCGATTTCAAAAACAGAACTTTCTCTTTCCTTGAAGCAGTTCCTAAAGGAAGTGCAGTCTTCCGGAAGGAAAACTTCCTTTCATCCTTGCTTTTTTATTTATTTTTTCTTTCTGATTATACGCGAAGGTAAACCGGTTTGTGAAGTGACTGAATAATTATTAGGATATTTATGAATGAATATGTCGGCATATGAATTCGAAGTATTTTCTGATTTCCGCTAACATTTTTACGCATTGGCTTATTCGCAACTAAATGATAATCAGAATATTAAAGATAATTAGTAGTAAGCTCCGAGAGCAGTTTCATCTTATAAGCTCTAAGGTATATGTCTTACATTTATATATATCTTAGAGCAGTTTTTATCTTATTAAAATTGGAGTATTGTAGTGAATCTTCTATACTAATGGTGCACTTAGTTGATTACGTAAGTATAAGCTAAACTTTTACATGATTTTTAATTATATGCTCGTAATGAATATTTTCATTTCTGCATATCTTATACGATATTTTATATTTCTTATATGAACTTTTCTATAGCTTCGTATAATGCTATAAAATATTTCAAAATAAAATTTAATATTCTTTTAAATAATATCAAGTTTTGTATCTTGAAAATTAATTTTAATATTTTAGAATAATATTTTGGTAGTTGCGGATATCACTTTTTTGAAATAAATATTTCTAAACATAATACAGCGCTTCTGAAAACGATGTCTCAGTTGAGAACTTCGAAGCTGTTTATCTTAATTAAGCATATGAGTTATATTTGGCCGTATAACTAGGATTGTCAGACGGTAGGGATTTGTAAGTATTGTCAGGCTTGTCTCCAGCACTGGAAAATGTCCTAGCTAATGCATTTTGCTTCTAAATGCATGAATCAAAACTTTCTGAACCTTAGACTATCCCAGAAGATTTCAGGTCAAGTCGAAATTTAGCGCATGTTTGTAGACTTCTGGGACATGAAAAAATATTGTTCATTTAAACTCAATAAAGCCATGATCTGTTATTTACCAGTATCAGCAAATAGTGTCGGTACTGCGAACTTATCATAAAATTTAAAAAATGTTAAATTATGAAAGCATTAAAGAAGAAATCTTATAAGGTATTTCTCCCACTTCTCTAGCTTGCCTTCGTAGTGTAACGGTAGCACACTAAGCCGGTATTCCGGAGGTCTGTGGTTCGATTCCCGGCGAAGGCGGTTGCATATTTTTCATCTTTTCTGCTTCCAATTGACCTAATGACTCTACAATCTGTTTGTAACATAATTATGTATCAAATGCCTTTTGTTTAAGAGAAAATTTCGATCTTATCGACAGTTTTCATAACATTGCCAGAGTATGACTAAATTATAAACGCAGGTACCATTTCAGATTATACAATGTTTATTAGTCCAAAGGGGCAATTTTCCCAGAAGGACTATTAATTTCATTTTGGCATTTTGCGTTGATTCACTATAAATGTCTGTTCATTTTCAAATTGTTACCACCAAATATTAGAGCTCTGTATTATATTTAAAGAAATTAAATAATGAAGAATCTGCGTAAATGTATGTATGTTTCTCGCATTGTGATAAAGCAACGGTACCTAGAGATATCAAATTTTGAATAACGAACGTTTCCACCAGAATATGCCATTTGGAAGCCCATATTTGGAATTTGGAATTTGTTTTATTACATATTCCATATTTTGTAAGACTTTAACGAACTGTTGATTAACAAACTCAAGGATTTCAAAGCGAGCAATGGCAACACTGCACGGAAAAAAAAATTTCTCTCTAGCGCGCGAGACTGTATCAGAAATTCTAAAGATATGCTCATTTTGAAATTATTTTGCGATATTGCTCTTGAACTGAATTTTATGGTTTAAGTGCGAAGAGCATGATATTTAATAAATAAAGGTAACTCACGAAACGTTAAAAAAAGACCCTCTGGGCGTAATGTAAAATCTGAAAGCTTTCACATTTTTTTTTTTTTTTTTAAAGTTATGTTTTTGTTATTTGCTTTACTGTCTTCTGCTGCTATGTTATTTGCTTCTGCTACTATATCTAGCAGTACAAATACTATATCTGGTAAAATTTTTTCCTTGGAAATGTTATTGTTAATCATCAGCCGGCAATTTTCGCGAAAATCTCATTGATTCCTGGATCACGAAAATTTTAAAGCTTTACCACCCTGTAGCCTCGAGAATTTAGTTCGTTTTCTTGCGATAAAATAACTCTCTTACTTAACCGAATATGCATATTTTTATATGTGCAGAGTGTTATAAAGATCGAAAAAGTAAAAAATGCCAAGACAATGAATATTTATTATAGAATGTATGGTCGAAAACAGGCTTTACCATTGGCAGAGTGTCTAAAACCGCTAAATGCTAGTAGTTCGACCTGATTTTCAGACAAAGAATTCATTTAACATTTTTAAGTTTGCCAAATAATAAGTGCTTACGAGTTTCTAAGACCTCGAGACTTATCAATGACCTAGCGATTAATTCTTTGAACTAGTTCGACCCAGGTTCAAATGCCGGCGAACAGGCTGGCTGCAGCGTTGATTTCCGAGTTCATCCTCATGTGTAACGTGAATACGAGTAGGTTTCCCTCAGAAAGTCCTCCAAGAAAGGCATCCCTCCCTTTAGGTAGATTAGCCCTTGGGTGCTTTGCCATACAAAAATAACCTAACATAATATATGGTCGAAAATGAAATGCAAAACTACTAGAGAGCGGGGATTCAAAGAGTATTCATTGTTGGTAATGGATTAGCAATCGATGGTGCTTAGACGCATACACCGCATAATTGCTGGAACTTCCTGTAGCAATTCTGGTAAAGACTTCTTGCAAACAAATACGATGCTCGCCCCCCCCTTCGAGTTAGAAAATGCATAATGACTTTCTGATCAATCATATACTGATTTATCAATTCACGATATTTTGATGCTGTTGCTTTAATGCTCTAATTCCTCAGCTTTTATTGCATTCCTAAAAGAGTCTGAAAAGTGAGTAGTATCTCATATGAGTGCTTGTACAATGTTCCAATCAACAATCGTAATCCAAGAAAAGAGAACTAGACACTTTGTCTGTTTGCATTTCTAGCGTACAATGATGAAATGAGCACTGGAAGCTAAGTTGAATTCAAGTCACGTGTCTTCTAATGACGAATCACCGAGAGATAGTGGAAGCTTGCAAACTACAGCCTTCATACAATATTAATTCATAACAGTAAATGAAACAAATGAGAATACTAATATTTAATTTTAAAAAATAAGGATAAATGCTACATAAAATAAACAAGGAGAAAATTTGTGCACAAAATCCAGCTTCGATACCTAAGCTGAAGCAGAAAAAAGCATGCAAAAGAAACCTCAATTTTGTCCTCGGAGGTTGCACTAGCTAATCTCGATGATTTACACGACCCATGTACTACTCGTAATGAGATGAAAATGAATAGAACTTCTTATGAAATCGAAGATGCGGCGTATATATACATGATACCAAACCAGTGCCTGCTAAAAAAACATCTCTATTTTCAACTGCAAAATTTCGAGCAGATTTCATAAGTAGCGGAAACATAACTGTAGGGGAACACTGGTACTTATTTTCGGAACCATGTAATGTATCGATGTATAAGAAATACATTCAATTGCTGTAGATTCAGATATCATTAAATGAACTGAGCTCGAAGAGAGTTTGTCAAAGGGAAGAATGAGAAATTGCATAACGAAACTTTACGTTTCCACCATGTTAGATTACATAAATTTCTGACAGAAGCAATTGACGAAACCAGAGGAAAACATTTTAGACGTGTATCTAGTATGCGGTTCTGCTATTAGTACAGTAAAAAATTTCATATTTGGAGACGGTGACTTGTAATTAGGGTGATAATCTCTGGTATGGGCAGACTTCTGATAAAAAAATGGAGAATAATCAAGGCTTAAGACTGAGAAGATTATTGAGAAACTATTCGTCTACATTTTGCCGTTTACAGAAACATAAGATTCGGTTTCAAGGACCAAAGACGATGAACAAAGGTTGGACAGTGTCTGTAAGACCATTTCTCTGCGATTTGTAACGATAGCAAGCGGATTCTGTGTAAGAATGTACATTAAAAGGGAACTAAAATTGCAGCGGAACCCACGATCAGAATAGCATTTCATTTAATGACCGCATACTACCAAAATGATGCTGCAAAAGTTGAAGAAATTAAAATAGAAAATCCTGCAGCAACGCCAAAATATTAAAATTTAAACAAGACCTAAATCCATTTTATAAATATTTATTTAACTGTTTATTATTTTTATACGAATATTTTTACGCTTTATTCTTTCAGGCTTAGGAATTTTTGAAAATCAAGCCATCAAAAAGATATTCCAACAAGATCCGTCATTTTGCTTTAAACCTTTTAACGCTACTGGTTGCAATAGTACTGTGTGGAATGCGTTTCCATCAGACATACCTTCAATGAATTCTTCTAATCCTAAACAGCTCACCTTGGCTTTCTTATTCACACCAAAGAATTCTAAATATCCAGAATTTTTGCACCTGTGCGATGGAAAATTACCAGACAACACCAACTTCAATCCTAAATTTAAAACTGAAATCATCATTCATGGCTACTTGGATGGGGCTTGCAGATCTGCCTGGATGAGGGTAAGTACAAAAATGGTAGAATTTCAATAAAATTTGCCATAAATAATCTAGCATATGAGATTCCTCTTGAAACATTTTAAAAGCATGTGCGCTTTTTAACTTAGAAGTAGTCTTTTAGTATGTCAGAAGCATACTCTTAATATGTGCAACTTATGTATATGTTACTGTCAAAGCCCGAAGTTCGGCTAGTTCCCGAATTGGCCGGCCATTTCGCACACTGGCAGGGGCGTGTGGCCAATGTACGATGTACTGGAAAATGAATAGCGTATATGCGACTTTGGCCGGCCACTTCCCGAAGTGCCCGTAACTCCCTGGCCAATGTTCGATGTGCTGAAGCAAGACTGTTCGGTAGGGGGCGCAGCTGTCGATTCGGTGTGATGACGGCATGCACATATGGTAGCAAGGACAGTGTATCTAGCCTCCGTGGGCACAGAAGAAAAATCATTACGAACCATTGCCTCTTCACAATCGCTGACCGGCGGCCAAGGCTGCATTCGATGCCATTGCACTACCAAATGCTCAACAAATCACTGCAGATGTAAAGATAACAAACTGCTGTGCAATTTGAAATTTCATAAAAGTTCATCTTGTTGTAACAAGTGATGATACTGATAACTTTCTGTAATAAACTATTTCAGTAGATAATGTGATTATCTTTTTGTTTGTTTGTTTGTTTGTTTTCTCCAAGTGCGAGGAAATTTTCATAAGAGACCAGGAGGTTTCTGGTACTGTGAGATCCTTACTCACTAAATTTATCCCTTCAGACTACAACCCACCTAGGGCCACCGTACCTCCTTGGCCTTTGTTCCGAAGGACGATCCTAGGCGCCTAAGAGGGGCGGATTCGTCGGAAAACTCCTCTGTGGCAGCTATAATGTGATTATCATTAGCATTACGGTATACAAATACCCAAAATTTGCTCATGACCTTTTTCTTCTGACTTTGGCCGATCCCCCCATGCCATTTCGTGAACTGGCTGGCCAAACCCCGAAATCAAGAAAAGATCGGACAATGGCCGGTCATTGTGAGACGATATTGGCTGTTTCGCGATTTGGCCGGCCTATTCGGGAACTGGCCCACTTCGGGCTTTGGCAGTAACATATATACAAACCAGGGTGGAAAGTTTCTTCCACAGCAAAAAATACCATTGAAAAAACGCTGAAAAAAAAAAAACCAACCGGAAGAAATGGAAAAAAAAAAAAAAAAAAAAAAAAAAAAAAAAAAAAAAAAAAAAAAAAAAAAAAAAAAAAAAAAAAACAAAAAAAAAAAAAAACAAAAGAAAAATCTAATTTTTGAACTTATTTACATTATTTTATCTATATTTTATTCCTCTGTAGTATTAATTTGTAATAAATTTAAATATTTTCATTTTATGTATTATTTAAGTAGCTTCATTTATATGTTTATAAAAAAAATTCTTTCATTATTTATATTTTTTTGGGGGGGGTATGTATGTATTTGGGTACTTGTAATGATATCTTCTTTTGCATTTAAATAGATTTTTAAAACTGAATTTCAGGTCATATTAAAAAAAGCAAAGTAAGATAATTATATGGAAAGAATACAAAACAAAATTAAATTTTAAAAAATTACATTGCAAAATTGAATCTGCATTACTGTAAAAACAAATCTTTATTGTTGTAAAAACAATCTAACGAAACGGAACATTCGCTCTTCAGTTTGGGTATGATCCCTGAATATGGTGTCCAACTTTAAAACTAAATCTCTCAGTCAGTTTTGGTCGTATGGGAATCACCCTTTTTATATTATGCATTTTATAATTACTATAACATTTTCTTAAATTAACTTTCTTAATCTAACTTTTTATCTTCTATCTTTCTACGAAGATAAAAGATCGGAGATAAAAAGTTAGATTTGGTAATTTTTCGAAGATAAAAAATTAGATTTGGTAATTTTTAAAAACTGATTTTTTTTTAAAATTGGATATCCCAGAACATGAATACTCGCATCATTTAAAATATTTTTGTAATTGGAAGTATATGTCTACGAGTGAAGATTGCGAAACTTTTGTGAACCTTTGCGGACAAGATGTATAGCACCCATACTAAGAGACTTCTCATTTTTTTAATAATCTGATCAAGATAAAATGGCCGGAAATCTTAAGATTATTGTTAAATCATTGAGAAAGAAAATTCAAATTAAATTCATGGAGACTATTATATTTGAATCAGTCATCAGGTTTTCTAATGCCTACCAACTGTTCTCTGAGTTATGTCATTTTATATTATAAATATCATAAGCTTTACTAATAATATTTTTTACCTACCTGTCTCGCAGTTTTTTTTTATTATGTTTGTATAGACTAAATTCTCATTTTCGGATATATTTCCACCTTACTACATTTAAGCTTAACTGAATTTGAAAAGATTCTGAAAGAAAATAAAAGTAACTGTAATGATAAGTAAAAACTGCGGTTTCACAAACCAAATGTAAATATAATCTAAAATTTATTTATTGTCTTATTAAGTTTACAAATATTTGATAAGTTTCAAAGTTCTAGAGGAAATAGTTCATAAATATATGGCAATATTTAAGATCACAACCAGCGGCTATTTAAGTATCTAATAATTTCTCTTGAATTCTAGAATGATTGTTCTCCATTCAATTTTCATCCCCAAACCTAAAAGTCAAATTTTGCATCCTGGTAAATCGGCAAGCTTCTCAGCAAGGCAGTTAACGTATCAGAAAGGCAGTTAAAACTCAATTAATATTTTCAACTCAAGTCTGTATGTGGGGAAACCTACAGTTTTAGATTTGTTGCCATCATTTACTCAAATATTTAGCAATAAAAATGATTTCGTTACTTCAGCAAGGAAATTCGTCGTTTGCGTTTAAGAGTCATGAAGGCATTAAGCAGTTTCCCAACTTGCCTCCTTCCTACAGTACTCAGGGTGGAGTTTGCTTGCGTGAGAAAAATATTTGCTAATCGGGAAGAGTCTAGAATAGTGGGTAGATTTCCGCTTTGCTCAACTGCCAGGAAATTAGTGAGTCTTTTAAATTTTAGGTCAGTTCATTTTTTGATAACATTGTATTAAATCAGCTTTCTCCCTAAATTTTAAATGAGCAGAGCAGTAACTGCAAAATTTATTAAATTTCCAATAGGCAAACAGAATGAAAAGTGTAAATAATGCTTCATAAAAAATATTATACTTTTATTTCCAATGCAAAATATTATAAAATATTGTACTTTTATTTCCAATGTCAAAATATTATAAAATATTGTACTCTTATTTCCAATGTCAAGATATATTATACTCATCATCAAATCATCAATCATCAATTATTCTAACTCGCTTCTTCATTGCATTTTGTATTAATATATATATTATACGTAGAATAAAACATGGTTTATAAATGAAGGACGAATTTGACTAAAACAAATTTGAAACAAATTTGACTAAAACTGTAACTGGTTAATTCAAATTAAAGAAAAAAGATTACAGAATATTTGTGAATATTTTATTATTGCATTTATACCCATAAATATATTAATAAAATTAAGCAATAAAGGAAACTTATAAGGCACGTTGGACGCATAATATAAATTTTTAAAATAAAATTTAAAACTGCTCTAACTTGAAAAAAATAAAAGCTACTCCAAATTTTGTAAAATTCGTACTGAATTTAACCAAACAACTCTCTACCATACCATAAGCATACGTCATAATTTACACAAGGTTATCTTGTTATAAACTCATACATAATTTAAAGGAATTTAATTTGTATTGAATTAAATCACAGTATAAAGTCATTGCTTTAACTTAAAAACTTTATTCTCGTATTTAATGAACTTTATTTGTGTAAATGTAACATGTTTTATTGTATTTAATTAAGTCGTCCCATTCGTAAAATCCAGTTTTATTTCAGGAAATGAAAGACGAATTATTTAAAAGAGGCTCATACAATGTGATATTCATCGATTGGACGTGGGGTAACGGGCCGAAGTACGATGAAAGTGCAGCGAACACTAAAATAGTCGGCAAACAATTGGCAATTTTGTTGCAGAATATCATGGTAAGTAATATGCTTCATCTCTGAATGAATAAGCTCAGATTTAGTATATATAATACGTATTGGTTTCCAAACTGAAGGTAGCAAATGAAAATTGCCTAATGTCTTCAAATCCACTCTTATTTCTTGGAGATTAATAAACTTGGAATTGAATGAAATTTGGTACGGTGCCATCAGGGATCAACATAGCGATACAAAATTAAATTGATGTGAAACGCAAATCTGAAAATAGATACTGGAGCATGATACAGAAGATCTCATAGAAAAAGGTCAGTACTAGAGAATGTGTCCAATTTGGAGACTCAACACTTCATCTCTCACAATGAGCTCAGATGCCATGGGCAAAATTTTGGGGAAATCTTTATTACAATGAATTTTATTTTTCCAACAAAAATTCAGAGAAGAGCAGTTAGGGAATCTGAAATCTTCCTGTGGTTCGCCTAAGATATCATCCCCGTACGTGCTTTATATAGTTAATATCTGGAGACTTCTGAGAGCCTAGAGATTGTTAGCTATTCAAAAGAATATCCTTCTATGCAACGAAATCTCTGGCCATTTGAACTCTACGCTATTGCTGCATTGTTGTCCAAGAAAACGAATATTTGAAGGACCTTCTCCACATAGCGCTACACAGGCCTTCGAAGATAAGTAGCTGCATAAGAGCATTGACAATGAATTTTAAACTAAGAATTTTGCAAAAACCTTTTGCACACAGTTACGAGTTAAAACGTAAAGAAGTAAAATAATATATAAAATATAATAATTTGGGAATTCAAGAACGAAATTCTCTTCAGATTTTTTTGTTAGTTTTAGATTTTTAAGGCATTGTAGCATAATAACCCATTTTTTACACGGAAAAAGTCTGCTCATTGAAATATAGCCATAGAATTATCGGCATCAGCCATTCAAATTCATATCATTTAGCACTGGCGAAGAATCGAAGAACTTTCCAGTTAAAAGTAACTCAGTTGTGGCTAAAATTGTAGAAATCTTTTTAAAATGTTGATTTTTGAAATTTAACACCTTATAGCCCTAATATATTTTAGTATTATATAAGAAAGCATTCATAATTGTAATGGAAATTTAATTTGGAAAGTAATATAATGTACTCTGTGAAATAATTTAAAACTTTCGAAAAAAAATATTTGAACTATAAGAATTTCTATACTATAAGTAAATTTAGAACTATATCTAAGAACTATAAGTAAATTTCTTCATTTGTCGCAATTTCCATTTACATTTTGCTGTAAAGTCTTTTGCTTAAATTATCTTTCTTTGCTTATTGCGAGCCCAACCCACGTCATAACTCCATTATAAATTGACTTGTTTTTGGAGTTTGGTTTTAGAAGACACAGGAGACATCGAGACTGAAAGTACGTTAATACGTACTTTCAGTCTCGATGGACGAATAACATTTTTTCGTTATTCGTCCATCGATAGTACGTTAACATTTTTTCGTCGCTTTTATCTAACAGCTCCCTATTTACTCTAGTTAGCTCCCTATTTATTCTATTTACTCTAGTTGACTGCTGTGATGTTTTAATTTTGGGATTTGTTATTCGCTCTAATTGATGTAAAAGTAGTAAACACTTCTTTTACTGATGCATATTCTGCAGCAGCATTGCATCGAAACATTCTAAAAACTGCCTAAAGCCTACTTTTCACAATTGAATCTGCTATTATTGCATAAAATAAAAATCTGAATGCTATTTTCACTTCTTGTCGAAGAGTAAAACCTCTCCGGACTTCTTGAAAGAGCCAAGAAAGTTATTAATGTAGATTGCAGATCACTGGTAAAAGTGAAAAGGTGTTGCTGTCTTCTCCATGAATTCTTGAAAGAATGGCTGCCAAAGCCTCAAGGAGGTTGGACTTCTAATTTCACTCCAGTTTTGAGGGAGAGTACGCCATGGGGAAGGAGGGTAGTTCGAGGGTGTCCCACCCCTCTTCCCTACCATCAAACCAGACGAAATGACTTTCGGCTCGCCGTATATTTAGAGTGCCCATATGCTGCAAAGACACTATTACAAACATTCATGCATTCTGCAGGATTCGAACCCGGACCGCAGTTGGCTGCCCTAACCACCATACCGTCTGGGTAGCAGTTAAATGGTGTAAAGCGCAAATGCCATTGTACCATTACGGTATGTTGCCTAAATACTTCTGAGTACTGATATCTTCCGTTCTTGTACTTGTACCTGTTTATATTCCGGTGAAACACAAGATTGGCCGCATTAATGTTACTTTGATCGCCAGTTACTCATATTTCTTAACCATTGCTTACATAAACAACGAACTCGAAATAAACCTTGCAAAGGGCGATTACTAATACTTTGATTTTTGTGTTAACATGATATCTTTGAATTTTCTTATATTACAAATGAAATGAGTTACACGTTTTTTCTTTATGAATTTTAGAAATTTAATTTCATTATAAATATTTTAACGAGAAATTTTGTCCTATGCATTAAAAGTATTTTGTTTTATATGAAAATTTAAATGCAGCAAAGCGTTATTTTTATTTGAATTTATATCTCCAAAATGGTGAAGAAAAATAATGTTAAGTCAATGACTATGAAAACCAGTCATTTTCCCTCTTTATATCAAATTTATTTCGTCGTTTCATCTTTAGAAATAACTACACATTTTAGAAAGAAGATAACTGATTCCAATGAATGCAAACATTACTGAGAATGATGTTTCTGTGTATGAGATGACTTTCATTCCTCTATGTCTGTTTGTGGATTACCTCAATAAAATACGACTTTTAGTAAACATTTACACAAAAGTTACTAAGCGATAGGAAAAGCAGAATCCTAAACAATTCTAATAAATTTTCGAAAGCCTTTTGCAGTGTGTTTGTTCTAAATAAAATTTTGCCATTTTGCATGGAAATTTCTTTGTTACCAATCATTAAAGTTGACAAAATTCCGGAAAACGATTTCTGAAATGCATATAGTTATTTATGAGATACAATGAGCTCTTTTAATTCCACTTTTTAGCAAGTTGTATATTCAATCGTATATTCATGCATTTAAACAACAGAAATATGAATTTTTTCAAGACTTTTCAAGCTTCATACATCAATTTATAAATGATTATTTAAATAAGAATATAAAATTAGCGCCTCTTTGTAAGCACTTTTCCATATTACTTCCTCTATTTAATTTAAATAAAAACAAAAGGATTCAAAGAAAAATTTTGAAATTTTTTTACATGTAGTGTATTTCAACAGCACTGTATTAAAAAATTTTAAAAAATCCAAAAAGCTTTCAGATTTTATATTACGCCCAAAGGGACTTTTTTAACGTTTTGTGTGTTACCTTTATTTATTAAATATCATGTTCTTCAAACTTAAACGACATAAATTCAATTCAACATTAATATCACAAAATATTTAAAATAGCATATCTTCCGATAGACAGTCTCGCGCGCTGGAGATAATTTTTTTTTTTTTTTTTGATACAGTGTTGCCATTGCTCGCTTTATAATCGTTGCGTTTGCTAATGTTAGCATAAATTTAGGTATTTTGCATAATGAAACTCGAAAGGCATACGAAACGAACGTGCGCGAAGATATATATTGGCGAGAGAAAGTAAAGTTCGTGTGCAATACAGTACTTTCGTTTTTTCAGGTACGGTGTCAATGTATGTTCCTGTTTTTTTTCTTATTGCCTAAATAGGTATGCTTGAAGATGTATGACTTATATTTGTATGTAAGTTATCTCCTTTTCGATAAATCAGTGTTTTAATGTCTATGAAGAGTATTACTTTCTGTTATGCTTAAGTTAAGCAAAATTCTCCTATTTTATTAAATAAAGATTTTGTAGTTAATTTTTTGACTTATGATTCTTTAACGAAAACTGCGCCTGAGGAAACTTACTCATTATGCCTTCAGTGCTAATGCACAAACCAACAGCTAATCAAAAATTCGTTCAAGTTTTACAAAATAGGAAATAGATAATAAAACGAATTCAAATTTCAGGTGCCCATGTTTGGGCTGTGGGATTTTCGTTATTCAAAATTTTATGGCTCTAGATACCATCGTTTTTTCACAGTGCGAGAAACTTTGATACATTCATGTAGATTCTTTATTGTTTAATTTCTTTATATATAATACAGAGCGATAATATTTGGTGGCCACAATTTAAAAATTGATTTACCGTTTACAGTGAAACGCCACAAAAGGTCATTTTGAGACTAAAAAGCCTTCTGGTCTACCGGCTTTTGGGGCTAATAATTTGCTCAAATATGAGCTATATCCACTTTTTTTAAAAATTGAAATTAGATAGGCTACATTAGTGCGTCAGGCTATATTGGCTGTTTTGCTCTAGTCATGGCTTGAAAGAGAGCTGATAATAGATAAATATGTTTTAAATTTCGCAGATATGTAGAAAGTAATAAATATGCGTTGAGGTGTATAAAGAAAGTTTGGCCTAATTACGTTACAGCTATTTATTTCTACCTTTATCTGATAATTAATTGAATATGGTAAAGCACAGGGCGGCTATTTGCCTATTTCTACCTTTAATTGTAGAAAATTGTTATCAGGGTTTTCCGAAATGGCATCTATAATGAGTTCTAGTACATAAAAAGTTGTCAATCATTTAGCTATCAATGCAAGTCTCTCATAGCAGTTACCTTTTCAGAATCAGAGTGGTGCTGGGCCTGAAAAATTCCACCTGATAGGCCATAGTTTTGGGGCTCATATAGCTGGATTTGCTGGAAAAATCGTGAAAAATATAAGACGGATTACAGGTAATTTTTCATTCCAAAGGTATATATTTTAGTTCTATTTTCAAGTATATGTTTTTAGAGTGATTCCTCACAAAGTTCTAATTAGAGTGAGAATTATTATTTGTTTTTAATATTTTAAGCAAAAACATAAAGGAACAGAACCGAGACACAAAAGCAATCAATCATCCAAATAGATTCGGGAATTCTCAAAATTGATATTTTTGTTGGCATATGACACCCAAAATTTTTCGGGTATGTTTCCTAAATAATAATTAATTAATTAGTATTTAACACAATTATTTAACCAAAGCAATTAATTAATTAATGTTAAAAAGCTTAATTTACGAATGCTTATAGCTTACCATATTAATTTTGATATAATGTTCATCTCGAAATTTGATAATTAAATTTTGAACTGATGTTATCTTGATTAGGATGTTATGCTGAATTCAGAGGCCATTGAAAATTTGATATTTTTATACGTGTATTTCATTTGAAAAGAAGAGTAGTCCTATTAGGAGCATGAATTTAGTGTATTTTTAATTCCTTGTACGAAGTAAAGGCAGTATTGTTATCGCGAAAAATTTCAGGTGTCATATTGTAATAGAAATATTAATTTAGATCGTTTCCAAATCTCTTTGGCTGATTTTTTTTTACTTGACATCTGTATTTATGTGCTCCCGTCGGAGGTGGGTGACTCAGGAGAATTCCTGAGAAGTACTAGCTAGGATCTGTACTTAGACAGAACCCACCAGCGGCGAGCGGTAAAGTCGCTGAACTCTGGTAGTTCGGTCCGAGGTTCGAATCCCGCGAACGGGCTGGCTGCATGGGCGTTTTCGTGGTTTTCCCCATGTGTAACGTGTATACGAGCCAGTTTCCCTTAGAAAGTCCTCCCCGAAGGCATACCCCCTTAGGCAAATAGCCCTAGTGTGCTTTTCCGCAATCTCAATAAACCAAACCAAACCAGCATTAACCACGAGAGTATAAAATCAGTCTTCACAGGCTGTGCCTGAGTTTACTCGGGACGATATAGGCTCGACAGGGATCGTACTGGTACTGTCTCGCCTTCTCCTGGGCCGTGGGGTCGTAACATTGTAGATGAATAAGTTGGCGGGACGGCGCTTAATTCCGATTGGCAATGTACCGTAGGACGGAAGTTGTCCCGTCACAAGAGTTGTATTTATGGGCAGAACACAGTACAGGGGCGTAACTAGAGGGGGGCATCTGTCCCCGAGCGCAGAATCCAAGTTGCGCCAAACTGATGTTACGACATTTTAGAATTAAATGTTTTCCATTCTTGGCAAGCAGTAGGGGGCGCGAAATCTTCAGTTGTCCCTGGGCGCTGAAAACCCTAGCTACGACTCTGACAAATTACTATTTTTTCCAAAACGGGTATTAAAATGGATTTAAAGTGCAATCAAAAGGGACATTTTCATTGCAGTACATACTTACGTACGTATGTAAGTTTGTGTGTATGTATCTTGCATAACTCAGAAACGATTAGCCCCAGAACATTGAAATGTCGTAAGTGGGACTGCTGTAACATCTAGTTGTGCACCTCGCTTTCTTATTGTAATCTACAGAACCAAATATATATGTAAGAAATAACAAAATATGATAGCTGTTTCAAAAAAATAATTGGCGACCTCAAAATTAACATTCTGAATTTGGTTATCTGCCATTAAATTCTCACAGGTTCCAGATTTTTCTATCTTACGTAGCGTTTTGATGCAGATGCCTCTTGTCCAATCAAATTAATTGTAAACCAAAACTCTGAACTGAAACTTTTCCGATTCCCACCCTTCTTCATCTGAAGTTCTATGATACTCTCCCTTTTTCGCATAAGCTCTCCTGCCGGCTAAACGCGTTTTATGTATGCTGCTGCTAACTTGCTTAAAATGACGCCGTACTTCAAAATGCAACTTCTGTATTCAAATATAATTAGGAAACATCTTGTCTGAAAAAAGGATGATTTGATATACTTAAAAAAAATAAAGATTGTGATTTTTCAAGATATGTTGTGATAAATGCGTCATCATGCTTTTCCACTCAGCCCTACCTTCAGCAACTACGGTCTTCTCCGCCATCTACGCAATATCGTAAGCTGTAAAAGTTCCAGTGTTTTGATCTACGCATTTTTGAAATCATTACATATATATATATGTGTGTGTGTAATAATTCCGGAAGCATAGAAGAGGAATCAGCTTGCAGTCGTCGTGACTGAGGGTTAAGGCTTACAGATGAAGACAACAAAACATGAACTTCCAGTCTTTATTTCCACGTAGCATATAGAATCATCTCCATAGATCCAATCATAATGAAATCCGAAACATTTCTATGATTCAATCATAATGAAATATGATAGATTGCTATGTACATTGGTTCTTAAAATTACGACGCAGGCATTTTAGACGGAGAAGCAAAGCGGTGAGATTTTAGCAAGGTTGGAAGTTAGCAGAAGAAGAAAGACTGCCAGAGTCGGTGCGATTCTAAAGGCAAGCTATGATTGGTTAATATTAGTTTTAGTTGCCTTTTTCAAGCAGCGTTACATAACATAGAAAAATCTCGAAGTTGGGGGAAGAGCACCAAATTTGGGATGTTAATTTTGAGGTCGGCAATTATTTTTTAAAGCAGCTATCTTATTTTGTTATATCTTACACACACACACACACACACACACACACACACACACACACTATATATATATATATATATATATATGTAAATATAAAAATATGATGGCTTTGCTCTATGCGAACAAGCAACCTCTAATTAACTTTCCGCAATTTCAGGATTTTCTCACTAGGCCAGTATTTTCGAGATCATTCGAGCATATTACGTAACCGCTTCTATAAATGAAGAATTCGCGCCATTTTGCGTCAGAGACCGCTTTCTCCCTCTGCTGCTCTTAACTCTTTCCGGCACGCTACCTTTTAAAGTCAGAGATTTGATTTAAAAAAAAAAAAGTAGGCAGTCTAATTAGGCCTAGATGAGTACACAAGTAAAATTTCGTGAAGATAGCACTTATCATTTTAATTCTGTGGATGTGCCCAAAGTGGCGCACTGATTGAATAGAGCTTCGAAAAGAATGCTGAATCGAGCATTGCTGTCAATGAACTGACCGATGAGATGCGGAGAAACAAAGAATACAGACTTTCAGTTGTCCTAGATTATCGGCGGGCCCGTTCTGGGCACATCTAGGGTTCGCCGTTTGATTTTAGGCAAGATTTCAAGATAAAAATTTAAAACTAATATAGAATACGGATATTAGCATACAGCCAAAAAAATAACATAGAAATTTCTTTTCAAACAATTCCTTTTATACTCTAAAAACAAACTGGAAGATTCTTTGAAAAATAGGGGTCTTAAAAACATGGCTAAAATAATGGACTGGTTTGTGTTGAGCTGCCATCTACTATGATAAAGAAGGTTCAGATTAACCTATAGTACCTATAAATCTTTCATTCAGTTTTCAGTGCATACAGAAGAAAATTTTAGGTGTCCAGACAGGACACACTGTGCCGCAAAGGGTTAAGACCTATGCTGCTGCTCTTTTCATCTGCCTCCCTTTTTCGAATACTATGACGCAGTGAATTTAAAGTTAATCTTGTTTATAAAGATATGGAGCTATAAATTTAAATCCTGCTGTGTCGCCATTGGATGCCGCCTTACACTCAGCTACAACAATGCCCGTAATTCTGATGTAACCAGATTGCCAAGTTTCATTCATGTGCCCGACTGCCACAATATTACATATATATATATATATATCGTTGCGTTCGTAATAGATTGAATGCACACAGCAAGTGTTCAGAGTATCGCAGAGTACAATCATTAATTACACTTCAAACTACTAAAGACGCTAACGAAACGCAAGCAAAACGCATCTAAAAAGCGAAGCTAACTCCGAGATATCACAATACTTCGATTCACGCTGAACTATCAGCCACAACAACAACTATACTGCTAGCATACCTTGATACGCATATATTTATGCAGAAAGCAGTTATTTCCCTGCAATTTTAGATGCTTCCACAGTAGGCCTCGTGCTGAAAAACATGAGTGCATCCAAACATGAGAAAGCTTCAATGTAGAATATTACTATCAAATGCTGACTCCGGTCTTATACAGTTTCCGCACGGCCGCTGAGGTATTTCTAGTATTTTTTGCTTCTTGAAATTACTGGAAGATAAGCCGATTACGGTTACAAATCATCTAAAATCAATCAGAGTATTCGAATTACATTATATTGTTGCGAAATGTTAAGGCGCGGTAAGGTAGCTTCCCCGCAAAGCAGTTTTAGGGTTGCCATAACATGGCAAAAGAGGGTAAAGTTGCCACATTTGGCGAGAAATCGCCCATTTGGCGACAAAATTGGCGGTATACCATGGACGGTTGGAGAACCTTATGGAACGAATTCGTACCGGTTTAGCCCAGAATGGTCCCGAACACAAGCCGAAAGCTATATAAACCCTGCTGTTCCGCAGGCAGTTAGTGCGCGTTTCTCATCGAGAGAGTGTATCATGGCGATTTCGTGCCAAATTTGGTGCCGAAACCGTTGCCAACTTGGCGATATCGGCCAAATTACCGAGATAGCCTTTACTCAATGTTAATAGACTTGCCCTTGTATTCTTACTTTTCCGTTAAGCTTTGATCTTTTATATTTTCATGTTACATTATAGAAAAGTAATACAACAATTTCACATACTAAATCATCTACGTATGTACAAAAGTCAATCCGTGTGAAGACGATCGAGTTGACAGCCGGCCAGCGATTGCCGAGTGGGTCGTCGAGTGCATCGAAGAGCCTGTTAGTGTATCGAGGTTAGTGCATCGTCGAGAGAGTGTGTTAAGTTCCAGGAACGACTGAACCGAAGAGTCGGGAGCTGTGCTCTGCGTGTCGTCGAGTACATCGCGAGTTGTAGCTTGGAGAGTCTCGAGAGTAACGTGGAGTTCCGAGAACGACGAGCAGATCGGAACTGTACTCTGGTGCTTTGCAGTGAGCTGTCTCCACCGTGATA